TAAAATTATTTTAAAATGCTTTGTTCATTTTCTGCCTTTTTTTAAGTTGCTTCCTTGGAATTACAAAAGTTGCACTTACTATAAAGCGTGTTGCCAGTAGGAACATTACCAAACTCTACGGGAAACGGGGAAGTGAACATTCAGATCTCTGGACTGCGCTGGTGACTGACCCTCTGTGTTTGCTGGTCTCCCAGAAACCGCTATGGCGTGCCTTGCTGTGGACCCTGCCATCTTGTTAATGATCATTGGAATATTAATCTTCCTGATCACATTCTGCGGCTGCATCGGCTCCCTGAGAGAGAACATCTGCCTCCTTCAGACCGTGAGTTCAGGAGGACAAGTCTAAGCACTGTCTTGAGAGCACAGTCCTCTTTCTGAATGACCTTTTTAGATTTAAACGTTCTTTCACCTATGTACGTAAATGGAATACGACCCTTTGTATTCTTTGATTTTGACTATGAAATGTAAATTTATTCTGTCCTTTTTACTATAATTAGGGTATCTAAAACCAGGCTCTCAAATACATTCGAGAATTAAGCTCTTTGGTGTTTTAATATTAAGAGTGAAGGAGCATAATGATATGTGTACACATTTTGTGAATGTTTGGTTTCTGTGCTATTTGTTAATACTTTATTATGCTGAAAAAAATCTAATAAATGTACAACCACAAAAACGCTTTGAATTCAAGTTACGTCTGCACTCAATATCCACAGTTCACAAACAAGGCTTCAGTTCCATAACTACCCTTTACAGTTGTGAAGATTCAAGCAACCATTTTAGACTCATAAAGCTCTTAATGTTCCATTGACACTTATTAGTCTTGTTGCCCCATAAATAAAGTTATCTCTCAGGTGAATGACTCGTATTGTTTGCCAAGCTGCTTTGCTTTATTTTATCTGATTATTTTTTTTGTTTGCCTTAAATTAGATGAAATAGTTGTAGACTGCCCAGGAGCAGAGTGTAAAATGTTCTTGAATATATTTACTTATCTTGGACAGTTGCAAGTCCCTGTTTGCTATTAATGCACTGATTCTCTATGTGCCTTTTGCTGTCTTTCTGCACTCTGAGTGCCATGGGTTCATTTCTAATTGTTGATTGAACTTGTCGAATGTGACCGAGTTTATCCCAGCCTGAGTGTGAGTCATGGGCTCTCTCCTCCTGCAGTTCTCCATCTGCCTGACGATCATCTTCCTGCTGCAGCTGGCTGCCGGGATCCTGGGGTTTGTCTTCTCTGATAAGGTAGGTACCCCTTATACAGTACTTACCTCCTTAAGAAGATTAGTAGGGATGAAGCTGTTTCATTCCACTTTGAAATATTAATCTCGCTACTCTATTGAGTTTAAAGGCTCCTGGTCCTACAGAAAGGGCTGCCTTCCCTCTTTAGGACAAGAAGCTTCTTAACACTCCCTCTCTTCATAAGGTTAGAAACCAGTGGCTCGAAATGAGCCATCCATCAGCTTCCCAATCTTTATACCCTCTTTGCACAGTACATTTCCCTTTGGAAATAAGTTTTTTCCTCCATCTTGTTTTCTCATTAGGTTGACCAGAAATTCATGATTCGGACCCAAAAGAAAAGTGAATGTCTCGGCACTCAGTGTCACCCAAAGCTTTGAAGGTCCTTATATAATGGCCAACCCCTGCTTTGAGACTGGTGTCCCTGTATCGATGCCACAAGCTTTTTGCAGGCCTCAGGAAAACCGCTCGTCTTTTGCGAGGGCTGTGGTGATGTGGCCTCTGTCTCTTACTGGGCAGGTCAGGCACAAACCTGCTGTTTTCCATAATAGGACCGTCAAAGCACAGGGTCAGAGCCTGCTGAAGAATACAGCTAGAGCAAGTAAACCATTAAAGAAACTGAATGTGAAAAGTGTGCCTGTGAAACAGTGTTTCTGTTTTGTAAAGGACATTGCTGTGGGTCATGTGTGCACTTTACAGGGCAATGTGGTTTAGCGGTACTATGCTAAAAGAAGTAGACCCATTAACTGTCCAGGCTATTTAGCATTAACCCCCCACAACCCTCGCGTGAAAGAGGCAGCAGTATTGGGAGAAACAGTTAATAGTTAATAGTCACTGTTAATCCTTCATTTATAATTAATTAATCGATCCTGCAGTGGACTAGACATGAGGACAAGTTGTTTCCAGAACACGTGACGGTTGACTCATTGAACAGTGACTTAAAAAAGCTGTCAGTTGAACAGTTTAACTCATTGTTCTAACCACAGCTGTATCAGGTCATAATTTGAACAAATTTTTGTAACGAGTAGAGCAAGTGCCACAGAAATTCTTAGTTTTCACTTTTTTTTTCCAAGTATTTGAAAGCATGCACAGAAATTTGATTTTTGGATCTGTTAAAAAAAATTAAAAACCTTAAAATGCTTTGGTCAATTATGCATGTACTGTATAATTGTTTTTCTTCAGGATGGGTTTACAATGTTATTCTTTCTTAATCAGCACCCATGCAGAAAAAAGCCCTAATAAAAAAAATATTCTTCCCTTAGTTGACATCTTTTGTTTACGAGATATTTGTAATGTTCTTTGGTTACAGTTATTTGAAATGTAGCCATAACTAGATATACATGATCTCTGGATAAATTTAACTGCGGCTGAAGTAAACGTGAGGTGCATCTGGTTTCTCCTGTATCCTCTCAGAGAAGGGGGGGATTTTTGGCTCATTTCTTACTGCCACCTGCTGTTCGATTTTCATGCTTTAAAAAGCTGCCATTGTATTCAACTGTGAGAAAGTTGAGCAATCTTACCACAGAGAGTGCAGCCCTTCCAGTCCACTCTGTTGCCACATTCTCAGTGAAGACAATGCCTCATTCCTTATAATGATCCTGAAGAGCTGGTTGGTACAGAATTCTCCAGTGAGCAGGATTGAGAGGCCTTCAGTCTGACCAGCTTGGCCTATAGAAAAACTTTGTATGCATCTTTTTACTTCAATACAATGTAATTTTAAAATGGCATAATGTACTAGTTAGACCTCTTTTAAAATACTGGAAGCAGTTTTGTTTTTACAAAAGAAAGATATTTCTGCTCTGGAATCAGTCCAGAGGGATGAATAACCTCTCGTATTTTACTCTTTCTTGTGTTATCAACACAAAACTGTCGGCCCCTCATGTACACCTGGCCTGGGTACTAGAAGGAGATACTTTATTCCTGTAAACGTACACTAACCATAGGGCTGTCCACTCTGCAGGTGTTTATTCCAACTTGAGGTAAATCAGCTCATCGTTGGCTTAATTGGAGCAGTTTCTAGAACTGTTCTAGATTTTCTATAAGGCTGCCGACACAACCAGCTCTCCAGAGCCAGGATTAAATTTCCATTATATAATTGACACTGAAGTCTAAGTTTGTATTATTGTATTATTACATCTTGACTGAATTAAGGATTGCAGTGCTGCTCAGTGCTTCACCTAATGTCATTACAACTGGCATAAGCCTTTTTATCTCGCTTTTTAACTGAATTACACTGAATCACAGAGAAGCCGATTTTCAGCAACTCGGGTTGTGATCATTTTTAGGATTATACCATAAGATTATATCTTTTAAAAGTAATAGCTTGTTTTTTTTTTCCTCTTAGGCACGGGGGAAGGTGACTGAAGTGATCAACAATGCAATAGTTCATTATCGGGATGATCTGGACCTGCAAAACCTTATTGATTACGGTCAGAAAGAGGTAAGTGGGACCTGCACCA